GGCTAGTGTGAGAAAAGGGTGCGAGTGTCTGAGAGCAGCTAGTGCAGAGTTTGAAGTTTTCCGAAGTATTCGGAGGTTTGAGAGAAAGGTTTCGTACCGTACCGGACGAGTGTGAGAGAGCCTGTTGTGAGCTAAAGATCCAGGGAAGGTAGGTAGTCTACCGTATAAGGTTGCTACCCGGAGTTTTTCGATAGTCGCACTTATCTGCCGTCAGATTTTAACAGGATAGGAACGGCCGCGTGCGTGAGCTGCCAGCAGCTGCGAATTGTGGATTTGTCCCAAACGGATGTCATTGAGATTTTGGGTTCAACCTTTGCACACTGCTCACAGCTCCAGCAACTCAGCCTTTCCCGAAACTTGCGCATGATTGAGCAAGAAGCCTTTCTTAAGTGCACCTCGCTGCAAGAAGTCTGCATCCATCCCTGCTTTACATGCTCGGCGTGCTTTTGCAGGCTGTACGCAGCTTCGAGCAGTTCGTAAACAAGGGAAAAGCAAAACATGGCGAGGTACATATGCCCGGCTCAATGCCTTTGACAAACGCGAGCAATTGACAAGCCCCAATGGCTCCGATTCCTGCCGCCAAATGCCAATGACCAATGGAAAGACGACTTCTAAGTAGCCACACGCTAAGCTGGCCAAGCAAATGACAGTGGGATTGGACTGCTATTCTGCGGTCTCAATTTTGTGAGCCAGGTTCAAGAAAGCTCAGGCTAAGCCATCCTTTCGGCCCCAGTAACTGCGTTACAGTGAGCCTGTAGGAATGAGAGCCTTAGCTTTCGCTCCTAATAGGCGGGTGGTAGAAAATGCCAGGGGGAACCTTAGTTCTCCTTGCAGCGGCCACGCCATGACCATTGCTGCACAAAGAGGCACAAGTACCATGCTAGGATAGGTCCATGTTTCACTTGTTTCACGAGGGCCTTGCACGCAACAGGAGACTTTTTGCAACTCAGTGCCGCTCTCTCTTTTTGAAACAGAGAGTACCCACAATGGCACTCCTTGAATGCTAAGGGGTGCAAAGGTGACCTCCCTTCGGGGGGGACGGCGCCACCATCGTCAGCAAACCCCTTGTTGTCTCTGCCTCCACTGCCTGACAATCGACATGCCTCTCGTCTCTGTCGTGCAATAGTTGAAAGGGTTGTGCAACGAGGGCCTTTTCCATGGCTTGCTAGGCAGAGCAGCAATTGACTCCCCTGGGCAAGGATCAGACTGGCTGACAATCAGCAATGCAGGTCTTGCAAAGCACCTGATCATCGTCTTTGCCATTCGATGCAGTGGCCCTCTTGGTCGCAGCTTGGTGGGTGGGGCGAGGCCCCTTTGATAGGCTTCGCTGCACTCCGCTCTTGCGCCGACCATGCCGTCCGACTTTCATAGTGAACTCAGGCCCTTAGATAGTTAACAGTCAGCTTTTGTCTTTTTCACATGTCTCACCCTGGTACAGAGGAAACGCGCTTAGACGAGGGGGAATTGTGGCTTCTGGTTTCTGTTTCTTGTTTGGGGTTGGGGGGTTTTTGCTTGTTTTTGTTTTGCTTGTGTTCTTTTCCCCCTCATCACGTCGCGTTTCCTTCCCTTCAATGATGACCTGGGCACTCCGCCCACACGGCGTCCGCACTCGTGGAAAAATAATACTGAACTGAAAGCGGTGCCACACGCCGGCCTGGAGTTCCAATTCCTTGAGGGTACATGCACGAACCACTGGATCCTGGGGGTCTTCAAGAGAAAGTAGGGCCAAAAGAAAGAAGACGATCGACGAGCCGACAAGACTTGGCTGAGCCTCACGATTGGGTCATTTTCTGTGGTGGGAAAAAGCCTCTTGGGGAAAAGTCCTCTTGTGGGCGCAGGCCTCTCGAAGGAAAAGGCTGCACACAGGAACAGACAGCAAATGGCCTGACACGGTGTTTTTTTGAGGCCTCCCAAGGGCACACAGGTCAAGCCCGCACACACAGGTCCAGAAGCAAAAGAATGCCTTTGTGCATTGTGGACAGTGCTTGTCTTTCGCATGGTTTCTTTCCGGGCTCTTCAAGAGAAGAATGCTCTTTTGCACTCCACCTCACCTTGTGCAGGAATTTGCTTTTTGGAAATGCTTTGGAATGCAAGAATTGCAGCTGACTTTGGCTTGAGGTCTTTTGAAGTTTTGGGCTTTGGTCGCGCAACTCGCTTTGTCTCAGCCATGCCGGTGCTGACTTCTGCGTTTGGGGCGCAGAATGTGTGGGTCAGCAACCAAAGAGCTCTTTGGTTCTTGGTTTGGTGCAACCTTTTGGTGTTGCCACAATTCTGTCCAAGAGGGCACCTTTTGGCGAGAAGGGATACCAGCACTTGATGTGCTCAAGCAAGCTTCCAGTGCAAATGAGCGAGGGCGGAGACGAAGAAGAAGAACACCCCACCAAGCGCTGTGGGCACAAGATGTCCTGGAGAGTTCAAGAAACTCTTCCCCACTGCCTTCCGGACTGTGTCAGCCGCTCAGTATGTCCACTTTCAAGGGGTGCAAAGGAGACCTCCCTTCGGGGGGGATGGCATCACCCCAGTCAGCAAGCTCCATTCGTTTGCCTTTGCCTCCACTGTCTGACCATCGATATGCCTCTCGCCTCGTTCGTGCAATCAGTTGAAAGGGTTGTGCAACGAGAAGGGACTTTTCCACGGCATGCTTGGCAGGGCAACAACTGATTTCCCTGGGCAAGAATCAGACCTGCTGACAACAAACAATGCAGCTCCTGCTAAGCACCCAATTGTCACTTTCGCCACTCGATGCAGTGGCCTTTTGGTCACAGTTTTGTGGGTGGGGCGAAGCCCCTTTGATCGGCTCCGTTGCGCTCCGCTTTTTCGCTGACCTTACCGACCGACTTTCGTGGTGAATTCAGGCCCATAGTTAGTTCACAGTCAGCTTTTTCACTTGTCTCACCTTCGTACAGAGGAAACACTTCTAGATGAGGAGGAACTGGCCTCTGGCCTTTGGTGGTGTTTTGGGTTGTTGTTTGGTGGGTTTTTGTTTGGCTTTGGGGTTGCTTGTGTTCTCTTCCCCTCATCATGCTGTTTTTCCTTCCCTTCAATGATGATCTGGGCACTGTTCTGCTCTGACTGCCCACGCGGACAGATGCAGAAGGAAGTGGGCTTAAAAACCAAGACGTTTGCGAAGCTCTTGAAGCGCTGTCGCGACATCTTGTGGCTGTCGATCAGCAAAGCCATGGGTAGCCAGAAACTGGGAGGACCTGGTCGCTTCGTGGCCGTGGACGAGACTTTCTTTGTCAAGAAAAAAATTCCAAAGGCGGCTTCCGAGGGCGGCAAACCGCTGGGAACAAAGTTGTTGTCATGGGGTTCCTCGAAGTCGACTTGGAAACCAGAAAAGCAACTGGACATTGTGCCTTGGTCCAAATTCCCGACCGGAAGGCAGCCACATTGAAAGCGCGCATCCAAGAGTTTGTGGCAGAGGGTTCTTTGATCTTCACGGACAAGTTGAAGTCGTACCAGTGGCTCTCAGGCAAGAACAGCAAGTTCGTCCACCGGTGCGTCAACCATAGCAAGGGTGAGTTTGCCCGGACAGAAACTTTGTTTGGCGTCGACGTGCGGGTGACCACCAATGCTGTCGAGGGTCTCTTTGGTCGGCTGAAAAAGTACTTTCGCCAAAGGGGGTTGGGCAGGGTTGGCAAAGATGCCTATGGTCACTTGTTGGCTGAATTTTTGTTCCGACAGAGATGTACGGCCACTAAGACTGAATGTTTGCCAGCTTTCCTCCACGAGATCTTGGTGTGGCAATCAGAGCACCCCAACAAGAAAGTCTTCGAAACGAAACTTCAAGATTGCATTCCAGACAGTGTCCTTGCAGACTTCAGTGCTCTGATTGGTGACGAGGAAGGTGAAGGTAGCAACCTGGAATCGGAACCAGTGAGATTGCAGTCTCCTGTTCTGAACCACGCCCCTGTTCTGAACCCGGCCCACGTGAAGCGTGAAATGGATGCCAGTGAGTCTGACTGTGAGATCATCAGTGTGCAACTTCATCCAAAAGCAGGAATGCTCCATGTAAAGGAAGAAAGCGGTGCTTCTTCAAGTGCAGCCCTGCCTGTAGCTGAGCCGCCAAAGCAGGTAGACATTTTTTGCCCGCAAGGGCACTCCGTGTTTGTGAAAGACTTGCCAGAGCGCAGCGTTTTTAAGAAACGCCGTGTTCTCTGGGTGGAGTGGTCCAAGGTTGTCTGTGACGTTTGTTCTTTGGAGACGGCAGATCCCACATATCGTTGTGAAGCTTGCGATTGGGACATTTGCTCTCGATGCGCGAAGAGCTTGTAAAGCAGCGGAGAGTGTGGTTTTTTGGAAAAGGTGTGTGATGTTTTTGCGGTTTTTGTGAACATGTCCGAAGTTTCAACATGTGCAGTGGCGTATAGGTCGGTGGACAAACTTTTTTTGCTACAAGATCTGTAAAAACACACCATGTAAAACTATACTTTCCCCTCATGTGCCAATTGTGCACACTATATTGTAGCATGTCAGCTCAAGACTAAAAAGGAGTTGCTAGCTTAGGGGTCTATTTTGGGTCCCACAAAGTGACCGAATTTTCAGTGCCTGAGCCTGTAAATATAGGCTGTGCAACTGTGGAGTGCTGGCAGTGGAGCCCTGGTATTTGGAGCTTTGTTGAGCAAGAATGGCGGAGACTCTTGTGAAACAAATTTTTCTGAAGCAGAAATTGTGGAGGAGAGTATTGTCAGACACAACCTTGTGGAACAGGACTGGTGGCCAGGGAGAACCTTGTCAAGCAGAAACTTGTCAAACAGGAGTGGCGGGAGAATCTAGTGAAGCAAACTCCAGTGAAGCAGGAGTGGTCCTTGTGTGATCAAGCCTTGTGAAGCCAGAGTGCATGGAAAACCTTGTGAAACAAGTTTCTGTGAAGCAGGAGTGGTGGAAAGTCTTGAGGCAGAGCCTTGCGGAACAGCGCGGGTGGAGAACTGTGTGAAACAAACCTTTGTGGAGCAGGAGTGGTGGGTAAACAAACCTTTGTGGAGCAGGAGTGGTGGGAAAGCAAACCCTTGTGAGGCAAGAGTGGTGGGGAAGCAAAACCCTTGTGAAGCAGGAGGGGTGGGGAGAGAAATGTGTGAAGCAAACCCTTGTGAAGCAGGAGTGGTGGGGAGAGAACTGTGTGAAGCAAACCCTTGTGGAGCAGGAGTGGTGGGGAGAGAACTGTGTGAAGCAAGCCCTTGTGGAGCAGGACTGGTGGGAAAGAAAAAACTTGTGGAACAGGAGTGGTGGGAAGAGAACTGTGTGAAGCAAACCCTTGTGGTGAAGCAGGAGTGGTGGGAAAGAAAAGACTTGTGGAACAGGAGTGGTGGGAAGAGAACTGTGTGAAACAAACCCTTGTGAAGCAGGAGTGGTCGGAAAGAAAAAACTTGTGGAACAGGAGTGGTGGGAAGAGAACTGTGTGAAGCAAACCCTTGTGAAGCAGGATGGTGGGAAGAGAACTGTGTGAAGCAAACCCTTGTGAAGCAGGAGTG